CTAAACCTAAACCTAAACCTAAACCATTACGAATGAAAGATAGAAATGTATAGTAGGAAAAACACTAACTGCAAAGAAACCGATTCGGAACTGTTATATGATATACGATGGAACTTATTGTTCCTATGTTGTTTTTAAGTTATGTGTTTGTTTTTGTTGATGTGCTTATGTGTTTAAAATAAAATAAAAATTATCACCAAACAGCCTCCATGTTTCCAGTGAGTCTTTCTCCCCACTTGGAGCTGAACCCAGAAGGACATTTCTTCCAACAGGGGAAGAACAGCACTCTAACCACTGTGCCATCGTGGCTCAACTTCGTTAGGTGACCGTCAGCAGTTCATTTAGTGACCGTCCAAAGTTACAACGCCGCAGATAAAAGGGACTTGCAATCCTTTTTTTCACACTTAACGAGGACTTCCTGTCCCGGTCCTTCAAAGAATGAAAAATGGACCTTTGGGCCTTTTCCTTCTTCCTGTTTGGAAGATTTTGTTGCTGGCTCGTCCTTCTGATCTTTTTTCAAATCTTTGCGGTGTTTCTGGCAAATCATAAAAACCTCATTCACAATCTGTATGGTTTAACATCTCCCTTGAAGTTTAAACTGAGTTTCCCTCCCCTTCATCTTCTTTTATGAATCTCTTGTCCACAGAGATGGGAAAAACTCCTGGCTGTGAAAATTCTTATCTACCAGGAAAATATTTTAAAATAAATTCAACTCTTTCCAGTAGTTACCTATCCTGCAACTGAAGGCATAAACATGGAGGTAAGTAAGGATCAATTAAAAAAAAATTCTATTAAGAGCAACCACATTTCCTCTTAAGCAAGTACGAAAATCCAACCAAAGACACAAGAATGTAAGGATTAAGTAACAATGTTCTATATATCAAAGACTGCCGGGATGTTTAAATCACACTTTTTTATTGCTTAGACTTATTGAACATCTGAGTAATTTACACTTGCTTCAAATTTCTTTGCTACAAATACAACAGACTGTGAAGAAGCTTGTTTTTTATGCCAACAAATCCATCCTTTCTTCCTTTCCTTCCTCCTTCACTCCTCCTCCTTCTTTCCTTCCCTTCGACCTACCTTGTCTTTTTTTCTTTCTCCTCCCTTTCTTTCTCCTTTCTCTCTCCTTCCTTCCTTCTTTCCTCCCTTCCTTTCTTTCTCTCTCCAGCCTGTCTGCCGGCCTTCCTGATCTCTTTCTAATTTTTTTTGCTACCCACCATGCCTACAGGCAAATCTGAGTGGCTTACAAACATTAAGCATGCCCCCTTCTGCTGGCAAAGAGGAAATGGGCCAATCACAATGGGGTGGGGTGGTTCCTGAGACAGCCTGGACCAATGCCATGAAGGGCATTAAAGGTAATAACCAACCTCTTGAATTGCACCCAGAAGCAAACCAGCATCCATAGAGCAGTGGTGTCATACAGGACACTCTAGGTGGGGCCCAACGCCTTGTCTGCTCCCCACATCCTACACCCACTATAGCTTTTGACTTGTTCTCCAAAGGGAGCCCCCACACATAGCAGTAGTCCAAGAGTGAGATGCCCTTTAGCAAGACTCTCTTCAGAATCTTTCCATGTGTGAATGTGAGAATACAGGTAGTCCTCGGCTTATAACAATTCGTTTAGCGACTGTTCAAAGTTACAACAGCACTGACAAAAGTGACTTACCCCACATTTTTCACACAATGACTGCAGCAACCCCATAGTTGTGTGATCAAAAACCAGATACTGGGCAACAGGTTCCTATTTATGACGGTCGCAATGTGCCGGAGTGATGTGATCTCCTTTTGCGACCTTCTGACCTGCAAGTTGGGAAGCCATATTCACTTAACAACCATGTTACTAACGTACTCAACTACGGTGATTCACTTAACAATGATGGCAAGAAAGGTTGTAAAATGGGGCAAAACTCACTTAAATGTTTCACTTAGCAACATAAACTTTGGGCTCAGTTGTGGTTATAACTCGAGGACTACCTGTACAAATTAAGGGCCAGAGGGGATTGTGACATTTCTTTTTTTTGTTTGTTTGTTTATTTTTTATAAATTTTTATTTTAAACACATCAACAAAAACAAACACATGACTTAAAACAACATAGGAACAAGAAGTTCCA